ATCCACAAAACACCGATAAAAATTTGCGAACCCTAGGAACGACCGAACACCTTTTACAGTGGATGGTGGGTCCCATTCCAGAATGGCTTTGACTTTGACTGGATCCACCTTTATTCCATCACCTGCACGAATTATGAACCCTAGGTATTTGACCTCTTTACACAGAAACTCGCATTTGCTAATGTCTAAGTAGAGTCCTGCCTTACTCAGCTTGCGAAGAATACTTCGCACCGTGTTCCAATGTTCATCTTCACTACCGCTAGTGTAAGCAAGTACATCATCCATATATGCTGTCGCATCGAGATCCAAGTGTTCACGAAGTTGCTCGTTGATGTACCTCTGAAAGGTAGCGGGCGCATTTATTAATCCGAAGGGTGTTACAAGCCATTCAAAAAGTCCCAGCCTGCATCGAAATGCTGTCAGCCATTCGTCTCCTTCCCTTATTCGAAGTCGATGAAATGCCGACTTGACATCCAGCTTCGTAAACCATCTTGCCTTTGATAGTTGCCGGAGAGTTTCCTTGAACAAGGGTAGAGGGTATCGATCTGGCGTGGTTATTGCATTTAACCCTCTATAGTCAACACACAATCGCAAACCTCCATTTGGCTTTTTTGCAAAGAGTACTGGTGCTGCTGCCTCTGAGTTACTTGGACGAATCCATCCCTTCTTTAACAATTCCGTTAACGTTTTCCGTAGAACGAGTAGTTCCTCCCGAGACATTCCGTACAATGGCCCCCAAGGCGGGGATAGCGGCTTGCCGTCTTGCTGTTGGAGATTGATGGCGTGGTCTAGGGTACCTCGTAGTGGTGGTAATTCGTCGGCCCCACCACCGTCAGCAAAAAGGTGTGCAAACTCCCTTACCTGCTGTGGCAATTTGTCTCGCGCATTTTCAATGGTGACATTTGGCTTCGTGCGTAGAGCTTTATTAATGTCGTCTAGGGAAGCTTTGCAGACTGGCACTTCTTTAATCATGGATACCATCTCACCGACAGGTATCATCCTCGGTCGCGCGACGTTGCGCAGAGCATTTCTCCAACGCTTCGCACTATGGATCGAGATACCAGTCTTACGAATTTCTAATCGCTGTTCTTTTGCATGAATTACGGCATCTTGATCCTCGAGCCATTTCTTCCCAAGTATCAATTGATGAGTACAGTGTGGGACAACATACAACCATAACTTCGGCATCACATATCCGTCCAGATCAAGAGAAATGTAAGTGATGCTATCGACCACTGGCTTATCAGTCGTTGAATTTTCGGCCGTTTCCAAAGATCGAGGGCTAATACTTATGCGCGGCAGTTGTAGTTTAGATGCCAGGTTATCATTAATAATCCCAGAGCACAAACAACCATTATCCACCAATGCTTGTAACATAGTGGAATCGTTGATAAGTGCATTAACTAGAAATGGAGATGTATTCATTATTAATTCCTGACTAACAACTGCTTTAGGCTCCTGAGTGCGACTTTGCTCAGGAGCATCTAGTTTTCCGAAAACTGTTGGCTTACACCCTCGTTTTCCTCTTCATCCTCCATTAACAGCCTCAAATCGATTGCCGGGAGAGAAGCTGGTGAAGCTGAAATACCTATGGCGCCTGGTTTTCGTGCAGGCAAGACCGGACAGATTCTCGTGTTACAGCCTTGGCGCTCACATCGAAAACACTTACCCTCCCTTTGGAGTCTCTGAATTTGCTCTGGTGATTTCCATCTTGCACGAAGCGGCTTCCCGTTCGCACCGCGTGCAATGTTAGCAGAATTAATACCTCCCATAAAAGTGTCACCTGCAGTATCAATTTCACCAACAACTCCGTACGTTCTATTAGGAGGCCTCCATCCTCCTCCGTTAGGTCTCCCTCCTCGGTTATTATGACCTCCCTCGTGGCGGGCCCAGCTGCTGACGCCACGATTATTCCTTGAGTGTCCCAATCCTTCAGGTGTGACCCAGCCTCCACTTCGATCTTGTTGGACATCTAGTTCTTCATGTTGGTGTGATATCTGACCAACAATCTTAGTCCAAGCAAAAAAGTCGTTCTGCGGTAGGAGATGATTACTGGCTAGGGCTTTTCGAAGGGTTTTGTTTAATGCTCCTTGGAGCATGGTGATTTTTGTCTCATCAGGCCACATATCTCCTCTCCCTTCTGTCAGCTTGTTTGACCAGGCGGGGAAAAAGGTATTCCACTCCTGGTTCTCTCCCATCTTTAATTTTCCCAATTCAGTCCTAGCACGGGTGATTCGGGTGAGGTCCCAGTTACTACGGTCCAGGAACCCGATAAAATCCTCAGGGCTCTCCATTCCGTTCTTCCCTCCAGTTTCAAAATATGAGCCGGCTTCCTCTTGGGCCATTCCCTCCAAAGAATTGTAAATCATGAGGAATACCTGCTGATCACTATATTCGAAGGTATTCCAGTCGAGACGTAGTGCAGATAGCACGGCTTTTCTCCAAGCGGGATATTTCTTCCTATTTCCATCGTAAGAAGGAAGTTGGCTGGGTTTTAATTTAACATTTTTCCTTGCTGGGTCTTTAAGTATCTCAACCTCTGAAGTTTCATCGGGGGTCCTGCCAGGTAGTGTTGAGATTCCCAGTTGCATTCGAAGGCTAAGATTTTCCTCCTTCAAGGAATCGTTTTCAGCCAAGGCTGACTTCAACTCGGTGGACATTTTCTTCGTCTTCCCTGAAATTTGTGTCGTCGTTCGTGTATCGTCGTGCGTGTATCGTCGTGCGTATATCCTCGTGTGTGTATCGTCGTTCGTCCGGAGTGGTGAGTTTTTTTTTTTTTTTTTTTGAGATTGAAAATATGTCACAGTCTAAGCATAGGCACTTGAGCAACCTTATGGTCAGAGGTAGTTTATTTTCAATCTATGGTGAACTATAGATTGAAGAGGATAATAACAGTTACTTTATACATGATTATTAGCCAGGCCAATGACACAGTTTTCTATCCGTATATCGCATCCCATCTCGTATCCCATCTCGTATCCCATCTCGTATCCCTTCTCGTGCCCTATTCTTAGAGGTGTTTGCCAAGTTATAAGACCCTGCTTCCAAGAATAGTCCCTGCCTAGTTTCATGCTAAGCCTGCGTTTGACAGCGCAGGCTACAGGCAATTACCGGCTTACAAGCCGTCACAACGCCAGCCGCGGATGCTCCCGCGCTCCAGCTTGCTGGAACTGCGGCTCAAAAATGCACTCGGAAGTGGAGTGCAAGGCCCTCACACGATGTCACAATTGTGGGGGACCTCACCGATCGGACTCTCGGCACTGCCAAGCCAGACCCAGAAAAGATGGACCGGTGACCAAGGAACAGCTCGCAGCAATTCGCAGAGTCGAGCAAGAAAGATATGCAGACTTTGCCCGTGTCAAAGCTGCATACAAAAAGGACGAAGAGGCGAGGAACGCCTCTGCGAAGGACGTCTCCATGGCGGAGGGATCGGGTTTCGGAATTCTAGAAACCGAAGAAGAAGTTTGAGGACTCGGCAGTCCTTGGTGAAGTCTACGACAACTTTCACAACAAAAAGCAGGAAACCGACTGACAGCAAAGGTTACCTGAGAGCTCATCTTTTGCTCTCAGCAGAGATTAGGAAAATTCACATGGAAGATGTGACAGGGAAGGAAACGGGTGAGAAGCGCGGGATCTGGACCACATATGAAATTCTTCGAAATTATTTTTTATTTTTTCAGTTTATTTTTTTGATTTACGCTTTGATTTTAGTTTTGATTTAAGTTATGTTGTTAACTTCATCTACTTTTGTTGAGGTTCCCGCGGTTGGAATGAGTTGGGCCTGTACGCAGAGAACCCCACCGGCTCCACCAGTCTTGTACCGATAGTGGACCTAGAGCTTTAGCTTAGGACTTTAAAATAAAAAAACAAACAAACTTAACCTTGAAACTGATCAGGAAGAGGCTTTGGATTAGTCATGAATTAATCATAGAAGGAAAGGTGGTCAGAGCTCAGATGGAAAACTATTCTGGTGTGGAGTTCCTTTGGAGAGGAGTCAGTGGATAGAGGTTGTTGCAATTTATATACTTAATATAGTATATTTGTTAATTCGCCCCAAAGAAAATCTATAGTAGCCGTCGCTCTTAGATTGTGGAACAACGAGAGGAATAGACCAAGATTGATGAAATGGCACTACAGTGCGGACTCGTTATGACAAAATACGTTATACCGATGTCACCATCGCCATTTCATGGTTATATCAAATAATTGTCACGTGATGTTACCAGAACCACAGGCTGGAGCTTGGTTATATTTAGTTAAGTGCCTAAATATCAAGGCATAAATCAATGTTCCCAAGTCTAATTCTAAACATGTCATGCACTTCCCCAAACAACTTACTAGGCCTGATAGAAGTCTGGATGTGTTAGAAATTCAGACTCTATGTGTCTGAAGTTTCCCCATGATTGGAACAACTAAGATTCTCACACATGACTCACAGCCTGACTCATGACCTAGATGATTGATATCTCCTTTACCGACCATGTTTGATGCTTGAGACTCGACTAGTGCATGGTATGGTCTGATACATGTGTAGGCTTTCATCCACCGACCCTGACTCCATACTCATGTTATATACTGTCGTACGATTCATTGTCATTTTTAGAGTATGGAACGAGTGATGGATGGTATCTAGTTTGGATTTGGTCTATCAAGTATACATGTATATAAGCTGTCAAGGAATCACCAAGACAGATAATAAAAATCAATTTTATTCATTCAACACATTTTTTATTTCTCCATAGTATATCACATATTCTCCCGATTAATATCATTATTATTCTATTCATAAAATCGCGCCCATATTCTTTGAGCCGCCTTACTCATCAAACCCATACCGATTTTCCAACAGGATGCACCTCATGCAAATCTATTCTTAAATGGCGACTAAGATTATAGACACGACGACGAGAATATTGAAGAGGACGAGAATGTAGCTGAGCCGCCTGCTATGATTAATTAAGCACTAAATGGCCTTAAGCGCCAGCTCAGCTTGAAGGAGCATGAGTCAGATGCCAACTCCATGGAGCTCACAATACTTATGCGCATGGAAAGAAGCCTCCAACAACACGCAGAGCTTAATAGAAGGCACTAGACATTAGAAAGCCGGTTTGAGTATGTGTGTGTGTGTGTGTTTTATTGTACTACTTGAGTCTATGACTATCTAGCACATTGGGCTCCTCTCTGACCCAGGCCACACCTTGTACAGTGCTCCTATCCTCTTTTGTTACTTGAAAGATCATTGATATATTCCCCTTGATGAATAGCCATTCAGCTCAGTATTTACCCGTGGAATTCTGCCACCTTTTCCACGGAACCTTCTACCCAAAAAAAAAAAAAAAAAATGGTAGCAATGGAAACTGCGTGCGCGGGAAAAAGTCTCAAAAAACCTGCAGCCCCAGCCAGGCGAGGCCTAGACACTGGGACCACATGAGGTGCGCATATTCATCTATATCTCCCTTCTTTGTAACAGTCGAGGTCGACTTGATCCAATCCACCATCTCCGTATCAGGTGCTGAGTACGCTCCGGAAACTCATCGGATGGCTTTTCCTCCATGATCAAGGGTGGGTGACGAGTAGGGCTCCGACCCTACCATCTGATCTGGTCGTGGTTAGCTTCATGATAGTGGTGATAGGGGAATGTGTTGAGAGATGAAGACGATACAGACCGCGAAAGCGATTGGGAATCCTCTTCGAAGTGAGGACTTTGTTACTCAATCTCGGCTCTGCAGACTCTACGGTGAGAGCTGGAGGTTCGTAGGGGACATCACTGACAGGTGTCGAGAATAGTCCCCCAAAGATTTCTCCCTCAGGCGCGAGCCGAACGCGCGGCATTCCGGTACCATCCGCATGTTACAGCCGGACGCCATAAACCAACTAGACGACCGAGGGAGTGAGGTTTGAGTAATATACAAGATAGAACAATATCACGTTTGATGTCTGAGAAAGCGTAAATATTTCCCTAATTTATTTATACTATTTATGTTAGAATTTAGAATATCTATTTATTTATTTATAATACTTAACGTCGTGCCCGCGCACAGCACTTGAGATCCTCACGTGTCAGTTAGCTCAGCCTAAATAAAACTACCCGACGTGTTGGCGCCTGAACAAATCCAACAAAGCAAATGAAAGTCAGGATCTCATCATCCTGCACTTGAAGATTAAATTATACATGGTTACCGGTCACCCTTCAACTCTCATGTATTGAGATTGTATTGAATGAAGAATAGATTAAATAAACAATATGGAAGGGGGAACTTAGTTGAATCACATGATTCCCTTTCGGTCAGACTTGTTGTGCTTTTCCAAAGAAATTTGTGACACCCACCCAGCTATTAAATGCGTGAACTCCCTCCGTGGAAGCGAGAGCCCATGATATTCTGGGACTAGGATTCTGTGCTCTGTGGAGCTGTGCCTGGTATTGCCCGAGGTGGCAATAGAAAAAGTGGTTGCGGGACTTTTCTTCTCCGCTGTTACAGGCTATTGCCTTGTAGATGGGATCCGGAATTTATCCGGCTCCTAGGAGTTGCTTATGTCAGCGATAAGCGAGAAAACATTTAGGGGGTGATCCTACAAGTAAGTAGTTTTTCTCTTTAGACATAAAATAAACCCATTTTGGATACACTCGTGCAGACAGCAATTCACTCTGGTGCCATCCTTTCACATATTTTGTCTCCCAACTTTTTTTACACTGCTAGTGCAAGTTTTAAAACCTCTCCTAGTTTTATATAACATTTTTTTGTATATGAGCACGTTTAGAGTCCCATCACCTACTGACTATGCCTATATGTTGTGCTGGTGATGGCTAGGATTGCGATGCACAAGGGTAATGATCACTGAGGGTGAGGGAAGAACTTTCCAGGTGGCTCCATGATGAGTAGAGGAACAATGAAGCACTGCATAGAAAGTGTTTCTAGATTGTACTGCCAGATGGAGGAGACTAGAATATTCCGTGATACTATTTTGGGTAAATGAGGCGAGAGTCTAGCTACCTCAGATGTGTATATAATTAGCGCTTTAAACCTCCTAAGTCCTCATAGTTCTGAATATCAAATATATCAGCAGTTCACATTGATTCATCGATAATCATCCGTAAACCTTCTGCCAATTAACCTCCGTAAGCTCTTACCTTTACAACACTATACAAACCATTCAGTTCTTTCACAAGAGTACTTATCAACGTCTGATTATAACATGGAAAATTTGCTCCTCTCGTCTAATTCCAAAACAGCGCTGCCAAAGACTAGATTGACACAGGAGCAATTAAATCAGCTTTTATCTCTCATAGACATCGAAGACGGCCCAGCTCCCGAAGAGCTCAGGTCTGCCCCAACCTCTGGAAGAAAAAAGGCTTCAAGATGGCCAGAATGGGATGGATCTAAGGAGCTCTACAACACTTTCATGGATCAGCTAAACACTAAGATAGAAGTTGAATGGGAGTTGCTAGGAGGTCACCGCGCTGTTTGTATGGAGATGATGAATGCAATTCCCAAACAGTGCAGGACTCGAGTTTCACACTGGTTTTCTACAGGCGGTCCAAATAACAACTGGAATTATAAATTATTTCTTCGCCATTTTCATGAAATTTTCGAGGATAAAACGTCTGCAAAAGCTGTGTGACGACCAGAAGGGAGCACAGGTTAGCAGATGAACAAGTCGAATCAGGTAAGGACTCAGATCTGGAATACAATTCATAAGATTCTAAACTAAGGGAAGAAAATAACAAGAGGTATCTAGAGATACATATATATACATAATTTACAACTGGTCCGTGTGTATATAGGATCACAACACAATACCTGAAAGGAACAATAGTATTAGAGGCCCCGAGGGTCAGGAATACAAGGCTGTAACAAGCTACGGGTGAATCGCTATCCATGATGAGGCAAGGTCAACATCAACTTTAACTTTTTTCCGAATTCCTTGGAGACTTTGAGTACACACTTGCACAGGCAAAGGGGCTTAAATGGGAAGGTCGCGTTAAAATCAACCATCTGAGCTTGTGTTTAGATGATCGATTATTGGATGCTCTGGTTTATGTAACGACCTCACAAAATGACTCTACACTATTTGTCAGAAAATTGCGAGAAGTCTCAGGTAAGCTAGAAGCTCGTGACAACTACTTTCCGAAAAGAGGTCCAATTTTTACAAAAACGTGGTATATTAACAGGCAAGATGGCACTCAACCAATTTCTGCTTTGGGTCCTGAAATTTCCTCGAGCAATTTACAAGAAAAAATTTATAATATTGTGGATGCCAATGATGATACTCAAATTTCGGGGATCAATGGCATAAGCATTTCAACATTGACTGCAATTATGAACGCAGTGAATTCACAGAATCCAGGAAAGGGGAATATTAAAACTAGCAAACCCCCGGCGCCATGGCGTTCCCCAGAAGAATTTGCAGCCTTGCGTGCGGTAGGTAAGTGTACCCGCTGTGAGAAAAGTGGACATTGGCACAAAAAAAGCCTCGATTTTACCTGGGCAAGGAGACCCTCGAATGTAAATGCGATAGCAGCTAGTAGCTCAAAAACTCGAAGGCCAGGTTTAGGTGTAGAAGTGGATGAGGAAGAGTCGGGAAACGAGTGAACTCTGGACAAAGTCGGGCCCAGAGGAAAATGTTAGCAATGGCCGAAGAAATGAAAAGTATTGTAAAGAAATCAGATGGCATACCCTTCCTGTTAGAATTATTAATTAATAAAAGTTTTTACACCGATATATTTATGGACTCAGGGTGCTTATGCTATTCCGCTTTAAATTATTCATTTGTAAAACGCCACAAGCTACCGCAAATTCCCATCGAAATGAGAGAGCTGAAACTGGCAAAGAATGATGATCACCGGCGCTCTATAAACAAAATAACCTGTGTAGATATGGATATTGATGGCAGGTGTGAAAGAATCTGGGGTTGTATCATTGATGATCTTGCTTATGACATAATCCTCGGTGATCCTTGGATGAGAGCTAATGATGTTCTATATAACGCATGGCAGCGTTATATTTGTTTTGGTCCAGCTGGAGGTCTTACCATTAAAGTTAAGGGATTGGATGACCGTCTGCCTGTGCATTCGAAGGCAAGGATAAGTGTCACGGTTTCAGTACAAAATGCTTGGGCGATCTTGTAAGTACAGTATATTAATTATAATTCTCTGGAGAGAGAATTCCTCGATGTAAAGTCTACATATATATATATATATATATATTCTAAATTACTGCCCTTCAAGATGATTCTCCCTGTGACCTGAATAATTGAGACGCTTCTACAACTACCTAGAAGGTTCTCGGTACACCTGTTATCCTCATGAAACTTCAGTGTGTTTCCAGAAGGTTCACTGAGAATATTCGAAGTTCTGTGGCTTCCGAGACCTTCCCCTTGTGCCATAGCCTACGCTAGCCAGCGTAGGCTACAGGAGTCTTTCGGCTTAACAGCCGTCACAATAAGTTGTCTAAAGTTAAGACAGTAGGCGCTCACCAGATTCTTGGAACTCACCTCTTAGCTATATGCGCACGAGCACGCAAAACTAAGGATAAGGATACGAAACTTTTTGTGGCTTTGATTTCAGATATAAACGAGGCGCTTCAAATTAAAGCGAAACAAACTCCGCAACAAATTGAAGCTAGCTTACCACAAGAAATTCGCCAAAACGCCCGATATTTTACAGAAGATGAAAAGAACGAGCTACCTCCCCATTGATCGGGAGTTGACACTAAAACTGAGCTAGTCAATGATGAAAATGGTATGGAGAAAGAAATTCCCTTCGGCCCTCTTTACAATATGTCACAAGAAGAATTGCTTGTCTTACGAAAGACACTTACAGATCATCTCGATCGAAACTGGATTCGGGCGAGTGCCTCACCGGGTGGAGCCCCAGTGTTATTTGCCAAGAAACCAGGAGGAGGATTACGATTTTGTGTGGACTATCGGGCCCTTAATTCAATTACGATCAAAGATAGATACCCACTTCCACTTGTTAAAGAAACACTGAGGCAAGTAGTAAAAGCTACCTGGATTTCAAAGGTGGATGTTTGAGCAGCTTTCCATAAGTTAAGAGTCCATAAAGGTGATGAGCCAAAGACAGTGTTTCTTACTCGTTATG